AAAAACTGATGAACCGGTCTAAAATCCGATCTGGTTTAAGTAGAAAACCGGTCACCTATTGAACCGAAAGTAACAACTGGTCAAGCCGGAATTAACCAGTCAACCGTCCGGTTGGGGGTTACCGATTTAATATTTTTCCCCTCCCCAAGTCCAAAATGACGTCGTCTATTCTTAAAAGGGAAAAAAAAAATCGAAACACAGCATTGGAGCAATTCCCTCGGTCCCTCCCTCCCTCACTCCTCCCCCCGACCAAACCCCAGACCCGAATGGGGGAAATAAGAAGAAAGTCTATCTGAAAAATGAAGAAAGAGGGAGAGAAAGAAGAGAAGGAAAATAGAGGAGAGATAAAAAATAACTTACTGGAATAGAAAATTCCTGAAAAATTATGATGAAAAATGAAGTGAAAAACTTATTTTAAAGGTTAGAGCATGGAAGAGGGAAGAGAACATGCTTCAAGAGGTGAGCACTTGAGTTTTTGTTGTGGGGATGAAGATCGGAAAATTGAGAGAGGAAGGAGCTCCGACAAGGCCACAGTCCAGGATTGAAATGAAAATGAGAAGGCGGAAAGGCATTAATGATAGAAGGGAAGGCCACTATGAGTACTCTATTTCCTGTCGTAGGCATTATTAGCGCCAATTTAGAGGGCCATTCAGGTAACGTGTTGCAGGCACTATGGGTACTTGTATCTTCCTTTTTCATTTTTCAAAGCCTAGTCATCCGCTCCCTATGTTCACTTAATGGGATACTTCTGAATATTATTTTTATTAAAATATTTTTATAATAAAATGAATATTTTTGAAATTTTATTTAAATTATATTTTTTAAATAATTACCGGTCTGATTCCTGTTCAACCTCGACCTGACCCATTAACCCTTAACCCACTATCTTAACCGGTTTAGTGTCCGGTCCAGTTTTTTGTTCTTTGATGTCACCAAACAAAGGGATAAATTGAAAATGAAATTTAATAACTCTTTTTTTTTTTGTGAAAAAATTTAATAACTCTTTACATGTTCTTTTTATAGATAAAAATTCCTCCTAGAAAACACCGTTGTTTTAAACCAGAGGAAGTGAAATCACTTCATGATTAATTTCCCATTATTAAATGAATCTGGTCTCTCTTGTTGTTGTAACTAGTGAGTTTAATCAAAACTAAATAGCTTAAAAAACTTTATGGAGTGCTTGGTAATATGAAAAAAATTTTTGAAAAGCGTTTTTCTGGAAAATGAGATAGACTACTCCACATATTTACTTTATATATGTAAAATATTTTAAAAGTATGGTTTGGTTTTTTTCTAAAATATCCTTTAATCTTACATGATCATCTTTACATCCTACCTTTGTTTCCCCTTAAAGGGTATTTTGTCATTTCAGGTAGAGATGATTTAGTATATCTTTTCCCTTTTCTGCTGTCCCTTTTCCTGCCTGGCTGCCTGCCCGTCCCCTCCGCCATTACGTGTGCATAATTTAAAGGGTGTTTCTGTCATTTCAAGTAGTAATGATTTCGATCTCCTCTCCAAGCGGTAGCCACGCATGACCAAGTTTTGGTTGTATTCGACGTACAAATAATGTAAGTATATCATAAAGATGGGAGAAATTAATATTATATAAACTTATGACATGTATATATGTATGGGCTAATATAATATTTCATCTTTTAAATTTGTCTTCATTTGGGTTTTAACTCCTCACATTTTAAACTATAAGTTTTGGTCTCTTAAAAAATAAAAATAATCTAGATTTTAAATGAAAACAAATTTGAAGGGCGAAAATCAAAATGAATGCAAGCTTTAGAGATAAAAATTATATTAGCCCTATGTATATATAAGATGTTCATCAAATAAGTTTTTACATATTTTATATAGTTTTCTTTCTTTAAAATTCACAACAAATTATTATACATAATTTTAGAGGGTGGACTCCGGATCATTATAGGCAGAATGTAGACCACAATGACACATGCGAACTTCATGCAAATTAATGTAATGCAAGTTTGGACAGTTCAATGTTGTTTGTAAAATGCCTTTGAAAGCGATAAAAGGAAGTTTTAATTGTTCTTAATTTTTAATTTATAACATAGGAAAAAGGTTATCCTTACCCAGAAATATCATTCAAGATATATTTTTTTTGGGTTTAATTTGGGTGGTTAGAAAATGAAACAAACAAGTGATGCTAGTTAATAGGGCAGTTATGATATGAGTGATTGATCTCAACATGTACGATGCAAGAAGCTAAGGGACATAACATGTGCAGTACATCATCTAATGTTGGACAGCTTAAAGTACTGAATCTTATCCTGAATCATACAAATCAGGAGGAACTGGATCTGTTCATATCAAATGTTAAAAATGACTAAAACACTTCACCAAGCCTAGTTTCCACTTGTAGCTAATTTTCAAGCATAAAAGTTAACACGAGATTAAATGGGTATTCGATATCTCCACAAAAAATTACTCTTACACTTTACAAAACAAAATTTTTCTCACATATTTTGTTCATATTACTCAACATAAGCTAAACCAAAAGTTGAGTTGCAAATATAATCAAATTAACACTGTAAGCGAACTTTGGAATTTTCGGGGCAAGAGAAAAAGCATAGGAGCAAACAAAGTCAGCCGATATTGAACTGCCGACAATCACTTGTTGGAAACAGAATATTTCTTCTCAATTGGTCCTTGAAATGTCCTGCGTGTACATATTCACTGTAATTTCGAAGTGGAGATAAAAACCAGAGATTTTGCTTTTACTTTTTTTTTTTTATTAATATACGATGGATTGAGATATGCTAGGGGTTGTTGAGCAGACTTGGTGACAATTTATTGTGATGGAATGAACACATGTGACTTAAACAAACATGAACTTGGAAAATTGAATACGATGAGGCGGGAAATAGTAATATATTTATTCAGTTAATATGTCCATATGACTGAACAGACATGTATAGTAAAAACTGAAGAAGTCAGGGAGGGTGGGGGTCGCGCAACCACGTGCTATTGCAATTTGGGTAAAGTTAACAGTGTGATTTGACGGACAACGCTACGTTAGATGCCCTCCCGAGGTTCATTCATAGTTTCATATGAACTCATATGCTTGTGTCTGAGAAGGGGGGCCAATCCCATGAATCTCTCCCCAAACCCAGTTCAGTTCAGTGCTTTTCATTTTTGGTTGAATAATGGTGCTTTAAGCGCACACCGACACGAATTAAATGTGCTTTCCTCTCTCAATGATTGAAAAATAGGTATTCTACGGGGTCAAAAAAGTAATTGCAGTGACACAGTGAAAGAGACAAGGAGGGGGGAGGAAGAAGAGGCATGTGGGTGATTGAGATGCAGTTATGGAGGATTATGAGAAAATGGTGGAAGCTCATGGGATGAATTGAACATCATCGACACCAGTCACACTACGGTACTTGTTCATCCATTTCACTCCCTCGCTCGTCCCCGATTCTTATCCCATTCTCTAATTTTTGTCCAATAATGATTCATGTTTATTGACCAAACTCCTTTTACTCAGTAACAAGAGCAGTTTTCAGTTTCATTCTCCTTGTCTTTTACACTTTGCAGGTTAGACGAGACCAACGACCATACGTCCACACTTTAAAGTTCATTTTCCTTCGAAAAATTAAGATACATGGGTGAACTGCTCCACAAGATAAGCATGTATAAGATCCAACAAAATCAATTGAATCCAACTGAACCATTTTTTTTCCCAATAAGGAATAAAACAATTAGAAGAGTTTGAAAAGACTGCTTTTAGAATTATTAGACACGCGTCAATGTTATATCCAGCATTTCATGTCGTGAGGCAGCCAATGCATGAATGATATGCTGGTACTTCACTAGTCTTTCACTGCAACGAAAATCACAAGAGGTAAATGCCGCACGTCAGTGCAGTTATTAAGTTTTACCGGGAACCATCTGACATATACCAACATAATGGTTGATTTCCAGATTGTATGCATAGCTCAACTCGGACTAAAACATTACTGCGGAAAGAATATCTTGGGACATAAATTTCCGCCAAACATGGGAGTGACTTATGAAAGGTTTTAGATATATTTATTAGATAGAGCTTGAGGACGACTGTCCAGACTTTTCAAAAATGCGGTTCATGAACTCGGAAAAGCCAAAGAGGTTGTCCATCTTTCTTTCCCAATGAAAAACAGAATAAAAAGAAACTATCAAACAGCAATACAATTCAAACAAGATCCTGCTCCAATCGAAGCAGTTTCAAGCAACATATGATGCTCTCAAGGAATGGTTCTTTGGTAAAGAGGCAAGGCTCCCAATTCCTCACGCTCTGCTCTCTCCTTCTTCACCTGCAAAACGTGGGTGGCAAAGCATTTTAGGGGCACTTACTAAAATAATTGGACAATTAATACTTCTTCATGTACATGCAACTCTGCACAATACTGATATCAAGTGGCTCATAAAGCAAAGGTCTTGAGACACCTTTCCCACCAAAAAAAAAAAAAAAAAGAGCACGAAATCGGCCAATTCAACACATAAATATTCTTTTGTTGATCATTATCCTTAGAACAATTACATGTATACATGGAGCTTTGGGCGCAGCCCAGACTCGAAAATCACTCCAGGGAAAATTATTCTGCGTGTTTTTCTTCCACGGAAAGGGTAAATATTTTTAACGTAAAACATTACTTTGGTTCATTATCGACACTACTCGCATGCAAATATAATTATGAAGCAAAGAATACACTCATTCTAACCTTAACAATCATACCGAGTCAAGAATGAATCAGGAAAAAGAAAATCCTAGATATGGCAGAATATTGTCAAGTCATGAAGCACGATACAATAACACTGAGGCCACAGAGATCGGACAAAAGGATCCATGCCATGAAAAAAAGACAAGGAAAGAAAAGGAAATTATAGTTAACGTAAAGAAAACAAAAGAAAATTATAGTTAACGTTCTCATGTCATGTCCTATGGAAAGCACAGAAAAACAGGACCATAAGGCAAACGATTGATATAATCATAACAAGTAAAATCAGCTGCGGAATTTTACAATGTACACCCACCACCGTCACCACAAATCTAGTTATCAAACACGGGAGTACTTACAAGGGCCAACATTTCTTGAAGATAACTTCTGAATGGTGTCTGCATCGCCTGTCATTGACAAGAAAGACATCAGCATTTGCATCATTAAATTTAAATGCAGTTTGTACAATTTAAACTTAGCTTTCGAATGATGGTGTGGATGTCAGTCATGAAAGTGCCCCTTTTCATATATGCAAGAAAGATGCATAATCCAAGGTTTCAACTTCCGATATGTCATGGTCAAAAAAAAAAAAAACTTCCGATATGTCAGCCTGGTCCATCAGTTCAAAATATTATATAATTTCTGTCACATATATTCCGCATTTCCAAGTCCAATTGCTAATGAAACTAAGACCCGCTCCCACCTTGCTATCTAAGCCAAGGCCAGACCAGCTACCAATTTCTCATCAAGCATACAGAACAGAAATTCAATAGATTTTATCATTCAAAAACCTCAAACTAAGTTCTCGATATCCACGTGCACACAACTCTAGTTATGCGAGGCCCAATCAAGAAAATAATAGCCAGAAGACACAAAGCAGGAAGAACGAAAAACAGGAGATGAACCTGAAGATCGTCGGGGAGGTACTCGTGCTTCATGGAAAGGTCCATGGCGCGCTTAAGGCGCTGATTGCGTGCGTCAACAATCTCCCTAGGCAGACGATTCAGGGCCTCCTTCACATCCAGATCGTAATAGGGATCATAGAGATCATCATACCGTAGGCCTATTCCCCAAAATCAACATTAATAAAAGATAAAGAATTCCACAAAGCAGTGGCACAGAGAATGGTTTGAAATTTTGACAAAAAAAAGGTTAGGGATTCGAAAAGAGGGAGATAAGAGAGAAAAAGGAGAAGGAGCAACCGTAATTGCGAAGGCGTTTGGACATGGATTTCATGTGCTGAGCAGCCAACCAGTTCTTCCTAGGATCCAGAAATGACTGCAAGAACGACGCCATTGATCCTTCTCGCTGATTTACTCGACGAAAACCCGTCCCTCTTGTGGCTGTGGCTGATATATTTGATCTCTCTCGATGAATCTAGGAGCAAGGGCTTTTGTTGTCTCGTCGCAGTGACCCTCCTAAGGCTGCACGACGACGTTTTCTCGTTACTTTTTTACACCCCCCCTTGTTTTTTTGGTGACAACTTTTTCCCCTTCGTTTATTAATAAAAAAGTTACATCTCCGCATAAATAGTTTAAAAAAAAAACATCTATAGCCACAAAAAATTCTCATACTTCATACTAAACATTAAATTAAGAATAAATTTTACGTCAAATTATTTGTATCAATCAAATTGTTTAACAGTCTAACTGCACTTATTATTTTAATATTGTTAATTGTTAAAATAATATGTATGTATCTTTATAAATTTACCTATAAAGTATGAACATTTGTTATTTGATTATTGTTAGTTGCTTAAAAATTTCTCTATAAACTTAGGCCAAAGATACAAGAAAATTAACATAAATTTTATCATAAATTTAATTATGAAAAAAATATTAATTTAATTAGGGTCGGACAATTTAAGCCAGGAAGAATTAAGGGAGGGCTTGCTTTTTTCTGTTTTTGCCAACAACAAAGCAAGGCTTGCTTTGCTTTGATGAGAAAGCGCTACGTATAACTTATTTTTGTCCCCACAAATATCACGTTTCAATTTTTGTTACAAGATTAAGATAAAAGCCTATAGCTGGTATTTAAAAAAAAAAAAAAAAAGGATGAAAGCCTATACTCCCACTATCTTTTTTGGTGGCCTCGCCACTCTCTTGTTGCGAACTTATTCTTATATGTGAAATCCGTCTAATGTTTTTTTAACAGATATAGAAGATCAGTGAATATTCGACCCTGTCAATATTTAGTCGATTTTTTTTTTTGCCAACAATATTTAGTCGATTTCCTCCTTTGAAAAAGATTGCTTGCTATTTAAAACTTTAGGTGGCTATGTGGGTGAGTTTTGTTTGCATGCATGAAAAAACATTCTAGATACAAATGGGTGTCTATATATATTTAAAAAGAAATGCTTTATTCTTTAGTATAACAAAAACCATCGTTAAAAAAAAATGCTTTGTACTTTAGTACATAAAAAAAGCCACTCAATTAATGCAATGCCCATACAATAAATTGTAATCCTATCTATCATCCTAAGGGATACATCGAGAACAGTAGAAGATGAATATTTTCATTTCATTGATCTTCCATCTTTTGTTTCTCGTAAAAACTCTCTTCCTCCAAACCCACCTAACCCTTTTGATAAATTTCTCAAAGGAGGGAAACAAAAAAATAACTCTTGATGATAACATCAATTCGAAGTTCTTTTCCTGCTAAAAATTGATCAGAGTCCGCTTCAGAAGTTCAAACGATTCCTTCCCTTCCTCCGCCGAATCCTTTCCAGACTCCAGAGAAGATAATTGATCTTCAACCTTAATTGACCATACAAAGAATCACGAGCACAAACTCTCCTGAGGATCGCTCTTAATATGGGAACCCAATCTCATCTCTCTCTCTCTATATATATGTATATATTTATATATCTCAACCAGCTGCCAAATTCATCATCATGTTCCGATGGCATCTTCTGGATCAACCTGTCTACTTTATATACATCCATGAATGCCATACTTTACTGCAAAAGATATATTGAAAGCCAGCTGTGATGAAGAGGAGTAGCGTTCTGTAGGTTCTAGTTGTTTTACCTGTTAGTATTTGTCTTCACTTGTGAAACTCATTCTATGTTTCATCTCTCCCCTGTGGGTTGTCATCTCGTCCAATAACTCTGCGTCAAAGAAATCGTCTGATTTCTCATCCGCTTCTGGGACTTCAGTGGGATCCTTAGGGGCACCGGCAACTTCCTCGTACTCAGAAGAATCCAGTTCCTGGAGATCGCCATTGCTGAATATCTTGGGAAGCACGTGTTCCCTTATCACTATGAGAAGGAAGAATGGCAGTGGAAACAATACTCCACCAATAGGTATCCATGTCACCCCGAAACAGAACAGAAAGTACAGACACTGCATCAGTGTGAAGAGAGCTATGGTTTTGAACGACACTGATTCAACGAATGATGCATGATCACCTTCCAAAATTCTGCCCAAAACGTACCCAAAAAACATCAGAACAACAACTTGAAAAGTAACCAATTAAAGACGCATGGGGTAAGCATTACATATATATGTACACAAGGGGGCTTACTTGTGACGCCTTCTTGGGGTGACAAAGAGAAGCAAAATCCTTTCCCAGAACTGATTCCCTGGGAGACTGTCAATGGCCATGTAAGCGAAATAACCCCACAGAACTGAGGTAGGTATCATTCTAATAAATGGCATGGCGAAAACGGACGCGCCCACGAGGAAGGACTGCAAAAAGTTGCTTAATCTTTGCTCGTTCACTCGGACAGGCAAATAAGCATCAATGTGTTTCTCAGGATCAAATTTTTGTTGTACACCGTCTTTCTCATGAGGTTTCATCACAGCCTCCTTCAAAGTCGCCAACTCTTGTTTCTGTTGATTCCATATTCAAAATTTCAAACAAGGTTGATTCAGATGCTCTTCATCAAATGCCTTCATATATACACACAGCTTCCAAGTACCAAGAAAACCATACTTACCGTTGGGGCTGTATCCATTTCTATAAACACATCATGCATCTTTCCGTATATTTCAGAGTTGCTCCTTTGTTCCCTAATGCATTCCTTGGCTTTTTTAACCACTCTCTTTCGCATCAACTGTGAATTAATCAAGTCATAGAGGTAAGAATGTGTTCGAGTTTAAATTAAAGAACTTATAAGCTCTGATTAAATGGTTAAAGCAGATTAAAGATGATATCAATTACCTGCCCCTTAAGAACTGCCAAACTCTTGGTATGCATTGGGGATTGTGGAAGGACACCATTTGATGGAGGAAGCCCAAGGAGACCGCAAATCAAAGCCTAAAAATCCATACGGATATTATAAATGTAAAATTAAGAAACACCATCAGAAAGATTTGCTCTCTATGAAATTTTGGAGGCAGAAACGACAAACCATAATTCCAAGCAGGAACATATCGTGGTGGTAAGCATCTGGTTTTTGAAGGTTGAATTCCTTTTGCTGAGCCATCTGGGAAGCTACATTGTGATCGAAGAAGTATAAACCTGCCACCATCACGGCAGGAATAATTGCCGCAAAGATGTAAAGCACTGGTACCTTACCCATGTCCTGCAGTTTGTAGTTCATCGTCAAATAGATCTAGTATGGCTTGCGTGGCACTAAGTAAATCTCACTGGTACTTCATAATATTGTTTCATTGAAGCAATATATACGTGCATAGCATGGCGAGATCAATATATGGAAAAAACAGAGAAGCATGCCGTGGCATAACATTAACACCTTGACTACTGTCCAGTGGTACAGAGACTCAGCTTCCCAAGGAAGGGGACAAACCAGCCTTCTGGGAACACCGTGCGGGACTTTGGCTGGAACAGCATAAGATAGCGCAGACCAGAGCAAGACCACCGCTGGAACCCCATAATCTGCAACGAAAGCTCGCATCCACCCTGTGAATCCCATAGAGAAGACCAAAGTAGTTAAGAGATAAATTACGCCTAACATGAGAACCATAGAAAGCTTCTTTCTGCGTATGATTTCATTCACCTGTTCCATAACGCCATGATCTTGCAGTTCTGCTTTTGTGGGCAGTGAGAAGTACCCCGAAAGAGAAAATAATGGCAAGCAAGCCATTTGCATATAGCCATTGGAATTGAAATTCCTCCAACATTGGGTTCTCGTTCTTAGGCACTTGGAACTCGGCTACCAGTCCCTGCGATTCGAAGTCAAACAGTTGCTTTAATTAAAACTAATCTGGTTAAGGTGGATTTGTGCTTTCCCTAATTGTAGCTTCCTCTTTTATTTAGTCTGACTTTAACCCCTTCAAGGTATAATTATTATAATTGATTGTGCCTATATAATTCATATCTATATTTACTAGATTCATTAGGATTTCCTGCTATATATACAATTAAATCAATTCACAATAAATATGATAGAATAATCTGAATAAAATGGGAAACTACAATCAATAATCAATGGTAGTTAGACTACACATAAATTTAATTACAGTAATAATTTGCCATCAACTTCGCTGGAAAAGGGGAAGCAATACCTTTATAGCCTCTTGAATGAAAAGAACAGTAATCAACATGCCAAATAGTTCCCCGGCGATTCTTGTAAATTTGTTGATAATGGTGCACGTATTAAAAACTGCAAGCAGAATCAACATGATTCCTGTCCAAACACAAACCCTGTACGTTGATGATGGGCATGTATGTTAGATTAAGTTCTAATATTGTGTACTTTGGAAGAAATCAAGTATTGATAAAGCCAACAAAAATAGATCGATGGTGCTTACCAAGCAGCCCAAGCCAGAAACAGTTCGGCACCTAGTTCTGGCCTTTTTTTGCAGATCTCGTACAAATAAGTGTACATTATAGCAGTGGGTTCAGCAACCCCCAAAATCAGCAGAGGCTGGCCACCAAATATCGAGTGGATAATTCCACAGATAGCAGTAGATGATAATGTTTCCACCGTGCTCAATGCTCCATCTGGAAAACATGGTTTTTCTTTAAAGCCTTTTCAGCGACTATCATACTTTGCAACCCAAGCCAAATAGCTTTTAACTTTACATTTGACAAACGAAAAATACAAATTAAAGCTGTTAGGAGTTACCTGTATCTCTATTAAGCTGCTCTCCGAAGGCGATGACAGGTAAAGCAGAAGCGAAAAAGATATAAAAAGTTGGACCCAATATCCTGGCATAGACCAAAATGATTAGGCATAGTTAAGTTCAGAATGAGACATACATTAATTACCAGTTTGCATGTAAGCAGGCCTAGGATGGGGGAGACTTACTTGAAGCCAGAACAGGTTCCGGTAATCCAGTCTTGTCTGTAACATGCAGCCCTTCCTTTTAAATCTTCAATTATTCCCTGACCCGGTTTCATGTTGCCCATTGCTGATGTAAGAAAAAATTTACGCAACGGTTACATATGAAAAGGAGAGATTCACATGGAACGAGGATTCATCATGAGTTGCTCAGCGTCCTCAGCATATTACAGCTTACACAGAAGCAACAAAACGGGTACCATCACTAATTATAAGATGATTTAGAACCCATTTCGTCTTTATTGTTTTCATTTTTCTTCGATAATGCTTTTCGGAAATTTGCGGAGAAGATCGCATGAAGCTTGATGATTAGTTCATGCAACATATATATATATATATTTATATATATCCAACGACCATGCACAAGACATAAATCTTAAAAATCCGTTCGACTGGTGACCGGTAAGAAACGAGTACCGGATGAAATAATAGAATACAGCACCACAAAATTTTCCTGTGGTCATTCATCATTACTGTGGAAAGTCTAAACAAACGGAAGCAAAAGTAAACTATGCGGAATCAAGTTCATGCAGCAGGAAAGAACGAAGAAGAACGTACGTAGTTCTGAAGGAGAGGATGGGGCCCGCGGGGAGCCTTACGGCGAACAGGCGAAGGCAAATATTGCGAAAGCGGGAGTGAGGCAAGATTAACGGCGGCCAAGAGTGAGGGCGGAGGATCCAGAAGAAACGTTAGGGGGTGGGGACCCTAATTTCTGGTATTTCCTTTTCTCTCTCTAAAGCTGGAAGCCGGAAAGAGAGAGAGAAGGAGATGAGAGTGGCTGGAGGAGAGGGTGGCAATTGACGTGCAAAAATTAGTAGGTTCAGCCATGCAAGGCGGGTTTTGTGGGGCCCAACCTGGAACCTCCATATTTCTATATCCAAGGATCTCGCTTTGCTTGCCACGTCCTTACACTTGATTGGCTCACTCAATCAATGGCCTTTGCTCTGATTTATTTTCCCTTTTTATTATTGGCTCAAAAAAGTGGATCCTTCCGTTGGCAAAAAATTAAAATATGGATCCCTTCTTGCCTAGTTGTATTGACCAGTGGTTTTGAGGGCAGACTTTTTCTTCTACAAAAATCCCCTACGTTCACTGATAGTATAACTATAATTACTAATTAGGAGCTTTTAATTCATTCAAATCTTTGACTATAAGTTGACAACAATTCAATAAAAACTCAATAAAAATAATTATACGCATATATAATAATATATTAAAGAAATAAATCTGTAATAAGTCTAATTATCAACATAATAACACAGTACATAAAGCTTTTCATGAAACAATATCGTGTGACTTCGAAAAATATATTAGGTTTTAATTATGAGGGAGTTATTCTTTTTTAATAATTTTGTTAAAATTTTTAGCTTTTTTTTTTTCGTCAGTCTCATTTGTAGTTTAAATTTGAGTTACAATGCCTAATATCTTCCGCTCGGCCACTTGCTGGTCTCAGATTTTCTTGCCCTAGCCATTAATCACTAAGTTTTCCCCCGCCTCAGCAGGCAAACATATTTTAGGTAAGAAATATTTGTTTTTTTTAATAAACTTCATTAAATGTAATAATTAATTATAAAAAATACAACTTCTATAAGGATCAAGTTGCGGAAAAAGAAAAAGAAAACTCGGTATAATTTTTCTTACAGTCAATTGACCAACAAACCATCAACAATATGAGTTTAAAAAAAGCTTAATTAATTATATTTTGTCTTTGTAGAGTGCGCAAGACTGGTCATGGAAAATCTGCCTCCAAATAAACTGGCTGCGTCATAGGTCATAGCTATTGGAGTGTAGGCTAGGCTTGCATGTTATGTTCAAATACTTCTAAGGCGGAAGAATGACGCATAAAATGGAGCAACATGCCGAAGCTTGGCACCTGGAGGACACTTCACGCTAATGAGCCACGTTAGGTGAACAACTAAAGTCTTTAGCAAAGAGCTACAGTGAGAAATGGCATCAGTTTGCTAATCCTCTCTCACTTCACATCACATTCTTTCGTATCAAAGTTTCTCTATGGATGCCATACGAATCTTACGTCCAATATCTCTGTATGATGCCACACATTACATCAGTAAGAAGAAAGAAAGAACATGGCAGAAGATGCATTGTGATGGAGCAACCTCCATTGTGTATATAACGAACTGATCTATTTCATTCTAGCATTAGTACTGTACAATCAACACAGATATCTCATGTAAACTATTTATATACAAAAATCAATGGATCAGTAAATCAACTATGTAAGGCCTTCAAGATTGAACTCCATTAATCCATCAACTTCCCTTCAGCATCTCATACTGAACATGGAAGATAGCAGTCATGAATACATAAAATGAAGGGCTTCCCGGGTACGGCCCAGCAAACTCAAAGCTGTGGCAGCAATGTGGTGTCCACTCAGTCCTGCCTGATCAAGTTGCTCATCTGGTGATGCCTGTTCTATGTAATTGTCCGGTAAGACAATAGGTCGCCACTGGCAGAGTTGGTTCCAAATGAGAATTAAGATATCAGATGGTTGGCAGATAAAATGAAATCAATTTTCACACACACACACACACGCACGCACGCACGCACACACGTATACGTATATATATTGTAGAATTTATAAGAAATTTTACTATTCATAAGCTATAGACAATGCGAGTTAACTCAACCTCCGGGTCACAATAGGACCGACAATTTGTTTTGTAATAAATTACAGAAACTTCCTTTGAGTTTTATTAAAGGTTAAAATGTTTTTCTATTTTCCAAACTTAAAAATGAACCTCGTTAAAATAAATTTCCCTACTATTTTTAAAACCTCTTACCAGGTTTTGCTAAAATCACTCAAGAGAGGCTTGTGTTGTTTACATTGCGATTCAGCGTGGGTTTTGAAAGCAAATAAGAGATCTATGTAATTTTAACCAAATTCAAAAGAAGTTCATATTAATTTTGAAGATGGAGATCAAGTCTTCATAATTTCAATAGATTCGCGAGAGATCTATGTAATTTATTATAAAATTTATCATGGCTTCCTGGACGCGAGATGCACGCTTATAATTCTCTTATCTTTAATAGATGAACTTTACTAATCAAGGAAATAAAAACTCAAGAAAGGCCTCTCCACATGGCATGAAGAAATTACCTTAATTTTCCCATCAAGCTGTCCATCAAGAGCAAAAAATTGAGCAACATGAGAACCAAATCCTCCAATAGATCCTTCCTCAACAGTAATCAGGAACGAATGGTTTTTACAAAGCTGCCTGAGAAGATTGATGTCCAGGGGCTTGCAGAACCTTGCATCAGCAACTGTGACCTCGATCCCTAGCTTTGAAAGAAGTGTGTAAGCTTTTAGGCAGTTCCCAACCATTGATCCATATCCCAGTAGAGCAACTTCTCTTCCTTCAACAAGAACTCTCCCTTTTCCAATCTGTATACAAATATAAAAGAGTGCCTCAACAACTTAAAAAACAAACATCATAATATCTTATATTATGAAAATTCTAGGGAAAGTGGAGATCTCAGGTTATATTTGGTCTGAACAAACTATCAATTAGTTTACCCCTTTCAAATTTATATAAGCTTTTGTCAACCTGTAACGTATCCTGGAAATAGGGTGCCCAGAAATTACCTCCATGGGAACCCCATTGCATGCAGTATAGTTGCTGCTAACTAAAGCACCTCTGGGATACCGGAAGCAAATAGGCCGATCATTGACATGACTGGCAGTAGCCACCATGTGCACAAGCTCAATCTCATCAGATGGTGCCATGACTATCATATTTGGCAAGCATGACATGAACGTTATATCAAATGCTCCACAATGGAGGGGACCATCAGAACCCACCAATCCTGCACTTGAAATGACAAAACGTACTGGAATTTTCTGTTGATCAACATCATGGATCACCTGCATATGCCCAAGACAACGTTAAAAATCCTACTCACAATATCTAATCACTCATTGACCATGCCTTGCACATATGATTAGGTGCACTCCTAAGAAGACAAGCCCACACAGAGAGAGAGAGAATCATGCATAAAATTATAAAAGTAATAGTAATAGTCCATTTCTTTCTGCTTCACATTAAAACCTTTGCTGAGTTCAACTATAACTACACTTCTCTTCACAATCCTGATTGTCTGTGAAGAATAGATGGTCGTTACTATAAGTCATACAGAAATAATGGTGAGAAATAACCTGGTCATAAGCTCTCTGAAGAAAGGAAGAAGGTATTATGCAAAACGGCTTCAATCCCCCACATGCCAGACCAGATGCAAATGTAACCGCATGTTGCTCAGCCATACCCACATCAAAAAACGTGTCTGGCATTTTTTCTTGAAACAGTTGAAATGACCGTTCCATCATATTTCCTGCATGAACTACCACAATATCTTTATCTTTCTCTGCTTCCATGACCAAAGTTTCCGCCAAGCAATCACTATATGTCCGAGGTCGACTAGGTTGATGAAATGAATCAAAGTTGCTAGAACCTGAAAATTTCGAATAGATAACTTCTGAGACCATAAGACTTAACTGACCATTATCGATAGGTGGCAAATATCTTATAAGCGAGGCCAGAAAGAAACTGAGCCGTCATCCTTTGACATGCAAAAGGAACTGAAGAGATGGCTTTGCACCCATAAAAAATTGATAACATCCACCTGAACCTGAACCCAAAGATGAAGAGGCCAAATCCAAGCAATGCATGTTTTAGCTCAAAATCAAAAGCATCTCGGAAAGAAATATTTTTTTAGTATATATAGAGTATTATATGCTTTATACATCAGGAACTCAGTCATACGAAGCCACAAGATTTTTACATCATTTAAGTCCATCAATAGATGAAGTTTGGCCGAAAAGAAAAAAAACAACAAAACAAAATGAAAGATGAAGTAATTCAATTTCCTCCCAGTATTAGTGTCCTGCTGAGTGCGCGCATGTGTATTTTGTGTTTCCAACCGAAGCAAAGGTGATTTCATTTTCTCAAATGCTTGGTGGCAACTAAAGAAGAGAAATACTACTAATTGTAACAAAATAATAAAATAGGAGCAAGCATTACCATCCGGCTGCCTATCTGCTACATTGCTCTGATTATTTTCTACTCCTTGGTTTTCACCAGTTATTACATGAATCAGGACAGGGCCCATTGAATCAAGAGATGCTACTTCTTCTAGAACACAAATTAGCTCCTCAATGTTGTGCCCATCCACAGGGCCAATGTAGTACAATCCAAGCTCCTCAAAAAGAGTGGACCCACGAGGACCCATCATACCACGTGCAAATTCATCAACTTTAGCTGCCAGTTCATGCATACCTCCACCAATTCGCTTGGTAACACCCTGACAAAAGCACAAACAATCACTTCAATGTAATGTGAGTACTAAGCATAGGAGAAACGCTTTAATTATGTTGTCTTCAATGAAATCTTGCGATGGCCCCATAAAGCTCAGTGCCCATAACAAAATAAATAAAATTCATTTTTTGAATACATAAGATTAAAAAGATCAAAGAACATCCGGACAGAAGGACTATTATTATTGAAAATATGAATTAGTCAACGGTAAAAAATGATAATGGAGTTTCAAAGGAAGGATATTAAATAATGAGCACATCATCTGCTTTGTAATGAAATCACAAACTTGCCCAAAACTGCTCCACCATGTAACAATGAGAAAAAAAATATGCACATAAAAGGGAAAAGAGAGAATTAAGCTTGAACACGCATGTCTTCAGTAGTACACAGATAGAAAGAGACATCTTTAAATAAGGTTATCCGAAGATGCCACACGATTGATTAAAACCAGAACCTTATAATGGTAGGAAGAAGGGGGGGGGGCATGCGACCATTCATATCATGATATTCTAATTAGTATTTCATTCTGAGAAAATGCATTTTGCACTAATAGTTCCCACTTTATGAAGCAAAGAAGTGTGATTTTTTAATATTAGTGTATTAAGTATAAATTCACAACTTCAGCATAGGGATCCCACACATATGGAACACAACTTATTTAACATTCATTTACAATATCTAGTTTTTTTTCTCAGCAAACAACGAGAAGAAGCGTACTTTAGCAGCTTCTCTAAACCTTCGGAAGGATTTACTGGACTGGATCCTGCTTAGGGTACCAGATAATGCATTGATTGACGCCTTTGGGCCCTCCTCAACTTTTGGATGTAAAGAGTGACGGCAGTCATTCAGAATCACAACCATATTTGAGTCCAAATATCCTGCATTGCTCATGGCTTCATAGACCTGACCTGCCATAGTTGTCCAATTGCTGATAACTGCAACTACACGTTCTCGCCTCCCCTTCACATCTCGTGCGACTGCCATGCCTGAAATTAAATATATAGATATGACTTCAAGATTCAATAGAAACATTATAGAAATTCATTAATTAATGACACAAAAAACCTGATGTGGCCTTTCAATGCAGGAAAAAAATATCTCCCACCACTCCAATGAATATGCTCATAATAGTGTATAACATGAAAATTTTTTTGCCAAGAATAATCAGTAAAACTGGATCCATAAATTACCAAGTCCAGCAGAAATGCTGTTGCATCCATGACCTGCACCAAATGCGTCATATTCACTCTCGGATCGGGATGTAAATGCAGAAAGGCCATTCTTTTGTCTCACTGTCTTCATGAGGGATCTCCTTCCAGTAAGAATCTTATGTATATATGTCTGCTAACAACATATTGATTAGACTACATTATCCAAGTAAGGTCATTCAACAATTCATTAGAGAATGAAATCCAAGAAAGGGATATCAGTCATAAGATCGTTAACAAATAGGTATACCATATCAACTTTTAAACTGTACCTCTCCTTTACTCCCCCAAAGGAGAGAAGGAATCCCTTCTTTTAAAAAAAAAAAGGAAAAAGAAAAGAAAATAGGGCACAAGCATTGATGATAAAATCTTACTTGTTGTCCAACATCCCACAAGATCCTGTCCACTGGAGCATGAAAAACACGGTGTATTGCAATGGTCAGTTCCACCACTGCCAGACTGTCTTCAAATGAAATGTGTGCATCTGACATCATCAAAGACAATTCCAAACGGATTTCACCAGCCAGTTGCTTGAGTTCCTACAAATTATGATATAGGAAATAAGATGCTGTGAGCTTGCATGTAAAAATGATGTAACATTAACACCAAGAGGGAAAAAAAAGATAGAAATGCTTTTGAGCTTATAACTGACCTTAAGAGATAAGTTCTTCAAACAAAGAGGATTATCAATTGCATCAAGCATGGGTGTTGGCACTTTCTCCCAGCTGAAATCATCAATATTAGGACGTGCACATATACGGTCTACAAAACCCTGCATCAAGATCATACAAGATACAACCCGCTTTTCAAATAATTAATGAAACATAAGTTTTTACTAGAATATTTGTTAAGGAGATAATGACATTGTACAATTAAGATTTTAAGCTTGTCACACTTCTTATGCGTCTCTCGTTACAGTCACCTTACAAGCCCATATCACATATTATGCTGCACTTCAGCCCATGTATTCTAACAAGTATACCTCAGATTTGTCGATAAATATTTTCTTTCTATTTATCCCTCAAGAAAATACTGAAGAAGGCAGTTTTCGCAGTTTTGTGACTAACAGGAAAACCAAAGGGTGTAGATCTTCGTAAATTCACACAAGGATTTTCCAATAAATATCATAAAATCCTTCGTACAATGATAGAAAAGTTTGCTAATAGGCTCTGTAATTTCAATCAACCCAGGACTAAGGAGAACATCTAATAAAATGTTCAATTTCAAGTCCTCTGCAAAATTAAATCGTGGAATTAAACCTCCTATGGCTTCATAAATTTTCCTCTTGGTCCGTCATTTGAAACCATGTGTATATAATAGTGTGTCCATGCAATGCCAAGCAAGTTTCATCGCTGCCTTGCATCTTGAGGTACTCAAGCCAGTTAATTGCCAGTTTGACACCATATTAATTATCCAGGTTATCTTACCGCTTTTAAAGCTTTTACAATCCAGCAAAAACCTTATTAAACTGACCAGCTTTCAAGTTTTCAATCTGTTGGGTTTAGGACAGAAGAAATATACCAAACTTCATGTAATTAATCATAATATAGCCCCCTTCTTGAATTTAAATTTTTTTAATGAAAAACGTCGTTCGGTCGAACCCTTTCGAAGTCTGATCGATTCTATATATAAGGAATAGGAAGTTTGAAAAAAGTTCAATAAAATAAAGCAACAGAAAAATGAAATTGAATATGACTGCACAATGTGGAATGTTCTGTGCCAATGCATTTGCAGGTTAGGCATGTGACTTAGATGAAATTCATAGTTGCGTCTTCCTTTAGAATGATGATAGCATTATAAGATAAAGTAAAAAAACTGTAAATGCTTACGTGCAAACTGTTTTGTTTGGGGAAGGAATGGGAACCTAAGAACCCTCTAAAGAAAAATGACAATTAAAAATACCTTTGAAGCGGTGAAGGACACAAAGCTTGGGCACAGACTAATTCTTGAAACGTCCACATTAAGAGGAAACTCGGAACTTGAGCTGTGCACTTTCCGGTTGGAGTGAACGGTGAATCCGAATGGGTATCTGGCAGATGCGGCACCCATCACAAAAAAATGACCGAATTCTTCAAATTTTACAGAAAATCGCTGGTAAGCATGATTCCTCAGCTGGAGCTTTTGAACATGAGCAGATATGAAAGACTTCGATATAAACCGGGAGTGAATTCTAGATGAAGTTTACAAAACGACGGGAGAGACGTGGAAGAGAATCATAGAAAACGAATAGGCGAATCACACCCCCAAAACGCTATAAACGCCATCAACAAGGTGTTTAGATAAAACCAATATTTTACACTGTGAAAATAAATAGATGGAGAAGTTTATCAAAAAAAATATTTTTTAAAAATACTTCTCATGTCATCTAAACATCCTCTATCAGTAACTGCTTTTATTCTACCATACTATAAACAGTAAAATAAATTATCGTATAGAGTATGAGAGTGTTTACTACACTTAAAATGATTTTATCTTTCCATTGTTACATTAACGTTTTTTTTTTTGGCCAGACTTTATTAGTTTATTACATTAACTTATCATGTCCGAAATTTATTTTATTAATAAAAAAGTAAAATCATTCACCATATAAGTAAAATCCCTTCTTTCCCTCTTGACATACCAAATGTCCAAATCTATTCCCCCTCTATCTTATTCTAAGCATTTTTTTTGTTTTTATTTTTTTTCATTTTTTTATTTACTAATTTCTCATCCTTTTTTGAAGAATATCGATTTAATTACAAGCTCATTATAAAAGATAGTTTCTGTTTTTAATTGAAACAGTTATATATATGCGCCATTTTTAATTAATTGAAATTATATATTGTAATGTTTTGATTGTAATAAATAGATTTTAATGCTGCACAAATATGTTTTGTTGAGTTTAACTTTCATATCAATTATGACACCAGCTAAAGTAAAACTTTCATTTATTTCGCGAGGGAAGAAATCACAAAATTTGTGATGCATGCAACTATTTATTATTACAATTAATGTAAAAACATATACTGATCAGAGGGGCATGTACAATAAAAAGTTCACTGGAACCAAACAAAATATCTCGAACCTCATTAGTTTGTCTTAAAATTAGGAAAGTTAATTTGTTATCATACATGACCAAAAATATATATACTCCTTTAATTCTATTTTCTTTCTTCTTTTTTGGTAAGATAACACCTATTTTCAAATTATCTCTAGCATATTTTCAAAAAATATCCGTGATGTGTTAAAATTTGCTATTACAATCAATATACAATGATATACTGCCTCCGATTTTAAATATTATGTTACAAACTATGCCTTATATTTAGGAGTAGAGATAACATCTAGCAATGAAATTTCAATTAAAAATAACGTAAATATGTATATGTTTTAACTAAAAAACAAACCATCTTCTACTCAATGTATTTAAAGGACTCTCATATTAAGAACGGAGAGGGGTATATAAATGGTATGAATTATCATGGACATTGATGATGTCTTGGTCATATAATTGCCTTTTTTTTTTTCTTTTTTTTCCTCTTTAGATATAAATATTCTCTTATTGAAGATTATCATATTCAAAGCATCATCAGATACTAAATATAAGGATCTCTTTCTGTGGAGATTCCAACATTGATTCTCTAAGTTGTAATGGATAGACTCATCTCCCATTGTTGATTGCCTTAATTTTTTTGCTAAAGTATGGGTATCCTCCTATTGAAGGCAATCATATTTAAGACATTATTGGGTACTAAATGTAGGCACTTCTCTCAAAAGGGATTCAAATATTGATTTATCATGTTATGAAGGGACCAGCTCTTTCTATTAGACCTAATTCTGTTGGTGATTGCCTTATTTGTTTGTGCTGTTACTTTTCTTTATTTTCACTGTTGGACCGTGTTATGTTTTCGTTTTAACGAGTGCAATTTTTTCACCGGCAAAACAACAAAAAAAGGAGTGAGGAGCGGACACAAGTAAAAGGAAAAAGCAGAGAGAGAGTTAGAGAGAGATTCTCTCACTTAAGAACTGTGCACGGCTGGGCCACCACCTCTTGGTGGTATCCGGCAAGCAAGAAACCTCCGTTGCCCACTGCAATGGAAGACAAAGAGTGTTACGCAACTACCACAAAGCACTAGAAAGATAGAATAGCAAACGCAGGACACCATGGAGAGGAGTTTGGAGATCGAACTTGCTGGAAAGATTGAATGCACGCCTCGAGAGGATGAAAACAGGACTACCAAGAAAGTGAAGCTACGAGATAAAAGTGAGACTTCAAATGACATGGATACAATGGAAAGCCTCATTATAGATTCTAACAATAATAACTGGAATGAGGTACAGAAGCAATTATTCCCTGATGATCAAGTTGACGAAATGGACAAGGACGCCGATGAAGGACCGACTGAGCAGTCTGCACCTTGCAGGAACAGAGACGAAGGAAGCGAAGAGCATGCGGAAGCAAGGGAAAACATACCCTCCTTTAAAGATATGCTCATGGGGGACTCCGGAGAGAACACCCGAAAACAGGATAACATAGCAGGAGAGCCGTTTATCAAACAAGACGATGTCATGGTCAACATGGATGGACTTATCCCCCGATCACCTTCTCAGAACAAATTAAATCTTTCATGACCCAATGCATGAGACTCACTGTTGTTGTTAAGGTGCTAGGCCGCTATGTAAGGCAAGATATCCTCCACTCTAAAATATGCACCTTTTGGCAACCTACCGGGAACTACAAGCTAACAAAACTCGAAGGCGGTTGCTATATAGTGAAGTTTGAGAAGGAATGGGACTATCAACATGCGATACTGGGAGGACCCTGGGTGGTGCAAGGTCACTATCTCATGGTACACCCATGGGAACCGACGATCTCCCCTCAAAACCTAGAGATCAAGCAGGTGTATGGTTGGGTTCGGTTGCTAGGCCTCCCTTATCACTACTATCACAAGAGCATTCTCCGAGCCATTGGGGAAGTCATTGGCACCATCTTGAAGGTTAATTACAATACAGCTGGGGTGGATAAGGCAAGATTCGCTCAATTGGTAGTAAAAATCGACCCTACCAAACCTCTCGTCTCCAAGATCAAGCTAGATGGCACTATGTAGTTCGTTGAATACATGGGGCTGCCAACCATCTGTTATTGCTATGGGAAGTACGGACACTTAGAAACTTCTTGTGCTGCTAAAAAGAAACCTCAACAGGCATAGGAATCGACTATCGAAGAGCAAGAAGGAACTCCAGCACAACCAACGCCACAATTCGCCGAAGCTGAGTCCTATGCGCGTGAAACCCAATAATATGGAGCATGGATGAAGGTACAGCCCAGAGGAAGATGGGGTAGCAGGCCTAACAAGAAAGCTAGTGATGATCCTACCAGCTCTAATAGAAGTGGCGGTAGCAGGTTCGAACCCCTCGCTACCTCGGATGAAGTTATAGTTCACGAAAATAGCACTGCCAATCCTGTTACTCCTAGCACTGAAGCCGTAGTGCCTCCTGCTATGCCGAAGCACACCCAAAAGCAAGTTTGGGCAACCAAGTCAATAGATATTAGCGGAAAGAAGTCAGAAAAGAAGGCAAACTCCAAGACAACTCAAAAACCAAAATCCCTAGCCGTCACCATCTTCGATACTCCCGCTTACAAGGAGACACGTGTCCCAACAACTCTGGATGCCAGTAAGCACTAAGTTGTTTCTCTTAGTGACGCAAGGCAAGCTCTCAAACTAATCGAAGGAGACATTAGGCCTGCTGCTGGGCCGAGCCAAGTAAAGCATAAAGAAGGCAAGGAGAACTTGTAACAACGAAACTACTACACTTATAAATTAATCAATATCAAAAAGTTAACCATGATAGAAAAGAAACTTTGTAAAAATATTTAGAAATACTATCATGGTTATATAAACATTCTAAATCATATGAGATTAACCATGATAGAAAAAGAGTTAAACCAATCCATAAATATGTCTATCATGGTTAAAAGAACTTTCTTAAATTAACTGCGTGCAAAAAGATATTCATAATGGATAGGGCTTTGGGTATTATGAATCTAGAATATCATTTTCAACCATAAGCCCATAACACGATTTTACTAAATAGTACCTTTCATAACTTTCAACAAAATCAAAAGTCATTTGATGTCAAAGATCACTGTAGATTCACCACTCATATCAAACAAAAGAAATCACATGCAAATGCCTAAAGGCCTCCGGCCTTCTACCAGCATACAGTCCAGTAACAGTTCTCAAAAGTACACTGTCAAAATAATCAATCTCAAACATATCAGAGTATGTGGAATGGGCCCTATCATGGCAATATACATCTATCCAACACAATCAAAAGGGTGGAAGCGCTACAATTTTGCAATAGCAGCTCAAGCTTCCGGAGCCTTCCCTGACTGACCCGAACGGGAACTATCACCTGGAAAAGTGTTAAATCAACGGGGTGAGACAAAAGTCTCAGTAACCAACAATCCTACTATCAAGCATACAAGTAAGTGCTCGTGACGTGTCAAGTGAGACAATTGCAAATTCATAGTATTCCAACAAATTTCATATTGTCAAAGCATATAAAAAGTACAATCAATATTCTTTTCACCTCCCTTATATCCACCCACCTTATATCCTCTGACTAAACCCATGGGCTAAATCCTCATTCATGTGACTGGTAATTAGACAAGCTCACCGATCAAGTGATATGGACCGGCCAAAATCCACAGAGCACAAGACCGGACCATGGGTTCCCCCTCTAGTCTACTAATAGGGTGTCAATGCCCTATAATGAATAATTGGGCCAAAGGACCAATCAGTGTACACCTGATGGCCCTACCACCTTATATCCTCAAATGTACATAATTCACCCCCTTATATCCTCTTTGTTATAGTACCCATCATCAACATCCGCCACCCCTCATATATCAACACTCAAAATATTGCATTCATAAACAATCATCAACATGTAAAAATCAATTGGGATTTTCCATTTTTCAATTAACTCATAATACCTGAGATCATCATAATAGTAAACATATATCTTTTGCAACAAAAGTCTCACAAGACAATTTCAATAACAACATACTTTCATAGCTCACATAGTAATTCAATAATATTTCATAAATTCCTTATAATTCAAAATCAATCACAAACAACCTACGAGCATGAATAATAAGTGGAAAGTGGTTACCTCTTGTCTAGAACAAGTATTACCACAAGGTTAGCCCCGTGCTCATACCAATAGCCCAATAATTTAATCTACACAACCAAT